TGATTTATCACTTTCACGGGTTTATTACGAATCAACTTAACGGCCTGCTCCCAGTTGGCTTGTTAGCTCAATTGGTGGAGCGCTGCACTAGTATCGCAGAGGTCAGTGGTTCGAGTCCCGTACAGGCCTGATTTTTTTTTTTCAGGTCTGATTTTCGCTATTGCATAAATAGCGCTATCTACTGCGAGGATCGTGCTCATACGGAACTAAGTTATATTAGTGTAAATTACTTAGCACGGTTCCTCAGTATGTGATCGAGTTATGATCGAATCCAGTACAGGCCTGAAATGTTTTCAGGTTTGATTTTCACTATTGCTTAAATAGTGCTCTTTACTGCGAGGATCGTGCACAAATACGTTTCTATAGCCGCACTTCAGATACATGAATTTCATATAATCGTTGTGTTTGATTTATCATCTTACGGGTTTATGTCGGACAAATATGATGACCTGCTCCCAGCTGGCTTGTTAGCTCAATTGGTTGAGCGCTGCACCTAATATATCGGAGAGGTCAGTGGTTCGAATCCCGTACAGGTCTGAATTTTTTTTCAGGTCTGATTTTCACTATTTCTTAAGTAGTGCTCTTTACCGCGAGGATCGTGCACAAATATGAGGGGCGTATATTGTACCACAATAAGGCCAGCAATTGAACTGGTAATTGGAAATACTATATGAATTTTCTCTCGGGAGCCATGAATCCTTAGAACCCGGTGTCAGCTTTTTACGTGTATGTGAGTGTTGAAGTTATTTCATGAACTTAATACAGCTGGTCCTATTGTAGGTTATTTATGTCTTCCGATAAAACTTACTTTTACAAGAAAACTTCCCAATGTTCCACGAAACATCGTCACCCTTGGAATTGAGGATGAAATTAGCTTGTCCATCTCCCTCCAAGAAAAATCCACAACGACATCCGAAATAGCAGGTTCAGCCGAAGGACGTAAAGCAAGGCACTGAGATAGTTTGATTCGAGCGTGTGGTCAATGTATCGCAATGTTTTACTAGGGGAAAGCAAAAGTAGTGGTAAGCAGTTTTTGGAATTGATTAGTTTGGTTTATCACTCTCTAAAGCGCCAGTTTATAATTTAAATACCCAAAATTAAGTCTAAATTTGGGCGTAAACGGTTAATTGAATTACATAGAGCTATAGCGGCTCAAAAATATGAGTGCTCTCTGAATTTCAGCCACCAAACATGTTACTACGGCTCAAGCGTGGCATATCGCTCATATACCATTCAGGGGCTGCACAAATCAACACTCTGCAATATCCAGTAATCGCGTTTGTTAAATAGAGAAAAACATAGGTGACTCATGAATTGTTAAGTCATCTTCATTACTTAACGGCGGGCGAGGCTTCGGACTTTATTACCTGGATCATTGGATAATGCAATTCAAGAGTTTTTATTGGCTTAGCCGTTATGGTATATAGAACGTATTTACATAAAAATTAAAAACTAAAAGCCCTAGTAGATTTACAGAATGACCCGAATTTATACTAAACGTAAGAAATATAAATAGTATTGCGTAATGGATTCCAGACCTAAATAATAGGGTACAATAATGAGTAGAAGGCAAGAATGTGCAAGGGGCGAAATAACCACGATTGGTTGCGAAGAACTCAATTAGTAGTATAGATCAATTTCAATTTCTATAGCGCATTTCCATGTAAATGCTCTAATGCGCTTTACAACACTGTCCGGGGGACTTTTCCAGACTGCCGGCGGCAGTTTACAATTAATAAAGGAGAAATTTTTACATATGCCCCCTCCCCCCCTTCCCAGTAAACAGGCCAGACCACATCACAGTAATCTCGTGATGTGGGTTCTTTAACGTCCCTTGCCGAAATTAACTAATTGATAGGTGCAGGAGACGGGACCTCCGGCTTTACGTCCTATCCGAGAAGACGAAGCAATGTGAGTGAAGCGTCTTGCTTAAGGACACAACGTCAAGCCCCAGCCAGGACTTGAACCCGGGCCATCTGACCTAGAGTCCAGCGCACTGACCACTGGACTACTCACGCCTCAC